ATCCCATTCCCCACTCCGGGGGATGATATATTTTTAAAAATGATTTAGAAAGAATGTACTGAAGGTGATATATAGAACTATCTGAAAAAGAAGGTAGTTAAAGTAGAGAGTTCAGTGGGGGAAACTATTACAAAGATCCAAGGAAATTGAAACAGGGCTTGAGCCAAAAGGCAAATTTAAGCATCTGACCTAGGACAAAGAGCCTTATAGATAGATACATGGAGACGAATAAACATAAAATAATCAATTAATATGAGATTCTTCTACCAAAGGGGGAAAAAATGAAATAGTTTAACAACTACAACAGAGTAATTATGTAAATATATAATTAAGTAAAAAAAGAAGCCAATAATCACATTTCTACTTTTATTTCCTTTGTTAAAAAAATATTAAATAATGATCCAGTGGACATATTGTACTTGATTACAAACTGGGGAAGTGGGAGAAAAAGATGAGCCAATGAGTTGAACAGTTTCTGAGAGTAAATAAACAGTCTAAATCAGAATCTCAACGTATCTCAAAGAAAATCACTAGCATGAAGGCCACTATTGAGAAGTTAATAGAAAATACAGAACAAGAAAAGAAATGGAGCCAATATCTAAAATTTTCCTTTGAAAAAGTGACTAAAAAAAAGGACTAAACAAATATATTTGACTCTGGTGATGGCACAAGGCAAACTGGTGGCGGGAAGCCCATTGGGACTAAAACTGAAGTGAAGAAATGCACAAAATGAAGAATGATGTAAAAAAAAAAATTAAAAATATCTACTAGATTAATATCTTGTTTTCTAGTTTATGAATTATTTCACTATAAAGATTCATACTGTCACAGTTCACAAAACTCACAGATGAAATTACAGGCTAGTATAAAATTTGAGAAGGGTTAAATATTGGATAAACCTCTCATGCAAATCGGCGTATGAAGAAAGCAATAAGCAGGCAAGTCATAAGTTGTGGGTGCTCTGAATTACCTTAAAGGATGAAATGAGTTACGAGCTTTTTATAAAGACAGCTATAAGCATGAAACAGCATTCATTAAGTAAATAGTAATCTTTCAATTCCACATGGCCAGAAAAACAAAAGTAATGATAATAATAAAAGTGAAAACCCATCATTTGTACAGTACCCACCATTTACAAAAATCTTTCATTAATATTATCTACTTGTGATTGTTATTACATCAGGTATGGGGAGGTTAAATACTTGGTCAAGACTACTCTGTTAATGACAAAACTGGAACTCAGGGTCACCTGTCATAGTGATCAGTGATAATTCAAAGTGTTTATTTACCTTGTGGATGGGGGCAGGGCACAAAGTTACCAACACTGATGTAGAGTTACTTAGGTCTGCTCCAGTTTTTATCCCTATTTCTAATCATAATAGAAAAGAATTTTCTAAGAGGAAATATGTATATATATGAATAGAGTTGACTCTATTCATGGTAACTGGGGAAAATAATCAAGTTATTTCCAAATTATTGGATCAAAACTAAATCAAGTGATTCAGCCTATCAGTAGACTG